CTACTCAAACCCATATTATTTGCAGATGACACTACATATGTCTTTTTCCACCCAAACACAGTCATACTAGCAAACACAGTCAATGCTGAATTACAGAAAATATCTGCCTGTTTGATGACTAACAAACTTACGCTGAACACTGATAAAACCTATTTCATTCAGTTTGGAAACAAAGCTGCAAATGATCCAATTAACATAACGCTAAATGGGTCATCAGTCATAAGACTCACAGAGGGAAAATTCCTAGGTATCCACCTTGACAGTAGTCTTAAGTTCCGGACACACACACAACAAATCACCAAGAAAATCTCCAAGACTGTAGGCATACTATCAAAGATAAGGTACTACGTTCCACAATCAGCTCTCCTGGCACTGTACCATTCACTCATATACCCTTATCTTACATATGGAATTTGTACATGGGGATCAACAGCATCCAGTCACCAAAAACCCCTAATAACCCAGCAAAAGGCAGCAGTAAGAATGATAACAAATTCCCACTCCCGCCAGCATACTCCATCAATTTTCAAAAGTCTGAATCTGTTCACCATTAAGAACATCCATACTTATTCATGTGCCTACTACATACACAGAACAATACATGCAAATATAAACCCTCCACTCAAACTTCTCCTCACCAACCTAAACAGGACCCCATGGAACTCCCCAGTGCCACAATAGATTTAACAACAGACATAGGCTCATCAGGGTCAGTCCCAAACCCTTCAAAATCCCTCTTGTCGACACAGTCTAGCCACAATTTTCTCCAAGCAGAGTTCAAAGTCCTGGTAGTCACTCCCAAGCCGTACCTATAAGGGTTGTGCAATGGAGGATGCTGAAGTGTTCTCTCCAAAATTCTCTTAGGGTCAAATGAGTGTCTGAGGTCACAGTCAAGCACCTTTGAAACATTGCTTTGGTGTAGAGTTTTTTAAAGTTTGCAATGACCTGCTGGTCCATGGGCTGGAGAAGAGGAGTGGTATTCGGGGGCAAGAATGATGATGAACCCAAACTCCTCGAAAATTAAGTCATCCAAGTTTGGAGGATGAGCAGGTGCATTGTCCATTACTAGGAGGCACTTGAGATCCAATTTCTTTTCCAGGAGGTAATTCTTCACACTAGGGCCAAACACTTCATTGAACCACTCGACGAAAATTTCCCTCGTGACCCATGCCTTACTATTAGATTTCCAAAACACACACAATTTACTCTTCATAACATTGTTTTTCCTGAACACTCTGGATTTTCAGAATGGTACACTAGTAATGGCTTCACTTTGAAATCCCCACTAGCATTAGCACAGAACATGAGCATCAGCCTGTCTTTCATAGGCTTGTGTCCTGGCAGTGCCTTTTCCTCCTGTGTAATGTAGGTCCTCTTTGGCATTTTTTTCCCAAAAGAGGCCTGTTTTGTCACAATTGAACACTTGTTCAGGTTTCAGTTCTTCAGCCCTTTTGTACTCCTTGAATTCATGCACAAGATTTTTCAGCCGCTTTTTGGTCGAACTGGCAGCCTCACCATGCCTTACCACACTGTGTATGCCACTACGGTTCTTAAATCTCTCAAACCAACCTTGCTGGCCTTAAATTCACAAATATCAGTACTCATTGCAGGCAATTTCTTTACCAGATCGTTGTGAAAACTGCCAAGCCTTTTCACAAAAAAATCAACGTCATAATACTATCTCCTGCTAATTGTTTCTCGTTTAACCACGCAATAATAACTTCTCAACATCTTCGAGTAATGGTGATTCATTTTTGTCAGCATATTTACCCCCTTTGCAACAACAGCGTCCTTGATTTCCTCTTTCTTGGCCACGATGCAACATACGGTTGTGTAGGTTTTTTTTGTACATCCTGGCCAGTTCGGCCGTACTTATGCCACTTTGATATTGTTCAATGATGTTTTTTTTTAAAATTTTCATTGTATTTCCCCCCTTTCTTTCCAAAGGCTTGACAAAAGGGAGCTTTCTTTGGAGCCATGGTAGCTTATTTAGTACTTGCAAGTACTAAAATGAGTGGAATATTACGAAATATTTCGTAGGAGCACTTGAGGGGACCTTAAGAATTAATCTAAGTCTGTCCGAAATGCCTAGCCATGCTAGGTGTTCTAGTGGTACACTCTGTAATTATTATTTTACTACATGTAAACCACACAATAACCAAATTCTGTGAACTCAGCATTGTAATCCTTATAGAGAATAAACTTTGAATTTGAATTTGAATTCGCTCACTGGTAAACAATGCCACACTGGCTGGGTAGGGAGGCCACTCCAGCTCACACCGTGCGTACGCCTCCCGGACGACTTACTATTTGCGAGTCAATCTACGATTAGCGAGCCCATGTTTATACGAAAATATCCCTATGATTTCCGAAATCTACGATTCTCGAGAACTGCGATTGTCGAGGACCACTGTACTAAATAAAGTGTAAATATGTGTATTTTAGTACAGTGGACCCCCGGTTAACGATTTTAATCCGTGCAAGAGGGATAATTGTTATGCGAAATAATCGTTATGCGAATGAATTTTCCCCATAAGAAATAATGGAAATAAAATTAATCCGTGCAAGACGCCCAAAAGTATGAAAAAAATTTTTTTTTACCACATGAAATGTTTTAATTTTAATACACACAAACTGAAAAAGGCATGCACAATTACATGACACTTACTTTTTATTGAAGATCTGGTGATGATTGATGGGATGGGAGGAGGGGGAGAGCATTATCTTCTTACTGTTTAGAAGGGGATTCCCCTTCCATTACGACTTGAGGTAGCAAGTCCTTTTCCGGGGTTACTTCCCTTCTTCTTTTTTAATGCCACTAGGGCCAGCTTTAGAGTCACTGGACCTCTGTCGCACAACAAATCTGTCCATAGAAACTCTGTACCTCCCCTTCCTTTACGAATTGTCTAAAAAGGGCCACAACATTGTCATTGAAATAGTCACCAGCACGGCTTGCAACAGCTGTGTCAGGGGGGATTTTCATCTATAAAGGTTTGCAGTTCAACCCACTGTGCACACATTTCCTTAAACTTTTGAAGTAGGCACAATGGATTCCACAACTGGCATAGGCTTCTCAGGGGTTAGCCCCAAACCCTTCAAAATCTTTCTTTAAATTTTCCCTACTAATTCTCACCCTTTTTACCACAGGGTTGGCACTAGAAGCTTTCTTGGGGCCCATGGTCACTTATTTTCCAGAAACAGCACCGAAAACACTGTAATAATACGAAATATTCTGAGTGTATGCTTGGATGTTACCGCGGAGGCTGGCTGGTAAACAATGGGACGGGCGGCACATGTGAGGGCACATTGGACGCGTCTCGGACGAAAATCGGTGAGCGGGTTTTTAATCGGTATGCGCGGCAAAAATTTTGCGATAAAAGTAAGCGGTATGCGGAAAAATCGCTATGTGATGCCATCGTTATGCGGGGGTCCACTGTATTAAGCAGTGTTTAAATTACATATTTTAGTATTAAGCAGTGTTTAAATTACATGTTTTAGTATTAAGCAGTGTTTAAATTACACATTTTAGTATTAAGCAGTGATTAAATTACATATTTTAGTATTAACCCTTTCAGGGTCCGTCCTGTAGATCAACGGCTTTACGTTCAGGGTCCAAACCGTAGATCTACGTCATGAGCTCAGCTCACTTTGATAAACTGTGAGTGGTAAATTTGGGCCTAGATATGAGAGAATGCATCTATGTGGTATGTGTGCACCACATAAAACAAATCCTGCAGCACACTGTGTATAATGAGAGAAAAAAAACTGAGACCATGATTTTCGATTAAAACAGCGACTTTGCATTGTTTTTTCGTATGTTTTTTATAGTTGTATTTGTGATTTCTTGGTCTCATTTGATAGAATGGAAGACATATCACAGAAATAGAGATAATTTTGATTGGTGTTAGCACTGGAAATGGCTTGAATTGAGCTAAAAAGGGGCGGAAATGTTAATTTTTGCCGATTTTCAAGAGTAAACAAACGACCTCACACGTCTAATACACGCCAGCTGGTGGGTCTAATATACATTCACAAATGTGGTGATGATATTTATACAATTATTACAAAAATTGCATAACAGTAAATCTTCTATTTTTGGTGTGAATAAAAATTCATTATGTGAATAAAAAAATCAAAAAGGAATTTATTTGTAAAGCCTCAAAACATAACTAATGAACAGAGGAAATGTTAGTTTAGTGCCAGGAATACCTACATTGTTTTTTTCTGGACCTATTTTGAAATTGGAATATTTTGAACTTTGTGTTAAATTGGCCAAATTACCAATTTCCGGTCACTTTATTTTGTAGTTGAAACAGTTGACTTGGCGATTTCTTGTGCTCAATCGATAGAATAGAAGTAATACTAGTGAAATAGCTGAGAATTTGGTCGACTGGAATAATGTAATTGGCCTAAAATGGGAGTCAAAGTCGGCAAAATCGCCGATTCGTAAATATCGCTGACACATCAAAATTCACGAGAGCATAATTTCGTCAATTTTCCATCAAATTTCGTATTTTTTGTTTTATTACATTCACAAAAAGATTCTCTACCATTTCATAAGAAAAAATAATTTTTTTTTTTTTTTTAAATTCTTGGACACTGGGGCACCACTTCAGATTTTGGCCTTGGACCCTGAAAGGGTTAAGCAGTGTTTAAATTACACATTTTAGTATTAAGCAGTGTTTTAATCGTTTTATACAAACCATTAATGTATAATTTGCCAATAACAATAGGATTTTTTCATGGGAATGGATTAATCATTTTCCTATATTTCTTATGGGAAAATTTGTTTGGTATGTCTTGTTTGTTATAAGTCCAATGTCCTGGAATGGATTAAGGACATACACCGAGGTACCACTGTATCCCTATTACAAAAAGTACTAAATTATACGTGTACTTTTCCCTTAATACCTTTTTATATATTTCAACTGTCTTTCACAGCACTGTTCTCAATTGCCTAAATCCTTCTTTCTTCCTCATTTTACTTTAATCCTCAAAATATTTTTCAGATTCCAACCAACTAGCAAGTTTTTCTATAGTTAGAACAAATTGGCCTCAGCGATAACCTTCTCAACGTAAGTGAGATGCTAATCTTGAGCTTTATTTTGTTTACTAACTTCCCCAAATATATCTAGTTGTATCAAAAACAATTTTCCCTAAAAACTTTTAGTTTTGTAGTCTCTTAAATTATTTTTGTAAAAATTTATTTCTACTTAATTTTGAAAGAATGGTTTCTTCACCAATAAGGTGATATTTTCCTTTGGAAAATTCCATAAATTAAATTTCTAACATATTTCTCTCTCTATATATATATATCTTCTTTCTTTCAATGCACCAGCTGTATCTCACCGAGGTGAGGTGGCCCAAAAGATAAAACAAAAGTTTCTCCTTTTAAATTTAGTAATATATACAGGAGAAGGGGTTACTGGTCTCTCGCTCCTGGCAATTTAGTCGCCCCTTACGACACACATGGCTTATGGAGGAAGAATTCTGTTCCACTTCCCCATGGAGATAAGAGGAAATAAGCAAGAACAAGAACTAGAAAGAAAATAGAAGAAAAACCCAGAGGCATATGTGCAGGGGTTGGACAAAATAATGGAAACACCTTGAAATGTCAAACATATTTATTTTAATATGGTGTGGACCACCTTTGGCAGTAATTACCGCTTGAATTCAACGAGGTATTGATTCATACAATGTTTGAATAGATTGCAAGGGTATGTTTGTGCATTCGTCAGCTAAAACAGTCTCCAGTTCCTTAAGTGATGAAGGTGGAGGGTATCAACCCTTCACTTGTTTTTCCAAAATGCACCACAAATTGTCAATGATATTAAGATCTGGGGATTGGGGCGGCCATATAAGATGCTCAACCTAACTGGAATGTTCCTCGTGCCACTCAGAGATGGTTTTAGCTTCGTGAATTGGTGCATTATCGTCCAGGAATATTGCATTCCCTTCTGGAAACAGTGTTGCAATCATAGGATGAAGTTGATCTGCTAAAATGTTTAAATAATCCTTACCTTTAATTCTGCCATGAAGGGCAACCATTGGGCCTGAAGATTTCCAAGATATAGCATCCCAGATCATCACAGATGGAAGAAGACAGTGGGGATCATATGTTTCTTTTGGCTGTCTCCACACGTATGCTCGACCTGATGTTGGAAATAAGGTGAAAGATGACTCGTTGGAGACAATAACGTTCTTCCAGTGATCTAAGGACCATTGTTGATGATTTTTACACCACTCTACACGCTTCTCAACATTGGTTTTTGATATTAAGGGTTTCCTAATTGCAGCCGTTCCATAAAATCCAGCTTTAGGATGTTCCCTTCTCACAGTTTTTGTGGAAACTGGGTTAAGGAGGTGTTCATTAACCCGTAAACGGTCCAAGCAGATCTACGTTCACATGTGTTGTGCTACAAAAGTAGATCTAAGTTTTTTTTACATTTTTTCCAATATATAACAAAAAAAAAAAGCAGATCAGTTTTTTTTTTTACACATTTTCAAATGTAGAAAAACAAAAAGATCTACTTTTTTACATACTTTCAAATGTTGAAAAAACATATATATACGTTTGGATCGTTTACGGGTTAAGCTCTGCTGCAATTTTGGGTGCTGTAGTCTTATGATCCTTCCGAAAAATCCGTGAGAGTTCATGGATCCCTATCTGACAGCTTTCACTTCCTCCCAGAGTTTTTCTTTGATGAAGAGGTTTTCCCCTCTTTTGCAAAGTCTCACATCACCTTCAAGACAGTACAGCAGGGCCCCACTTATACGGCAGGTTAGGTTCCAGGCTACCACCGTAAAGCGGAAACCGCCGTAAAGTGGAACACCCTTTTTTTCCACTTATAAATGCATACAAACACTAGATAACAAGTTTACACTAACATATATTAAGTTAGCAATAGAACCAGGCATCAAAAAACAATAAAAAAGTACAATACACACATAGTGCACTCATTACTTACCTTAAAATATTTATAGTCTTAATCTAGGGCGAGACAAGTAGTATTTATTGTAAGAAATCAAATGTGGTATGTATGGCAATCAGCCAGGCTACCTTACCAGGCCACCCCACCCACACATACTATTCTATGATATTTAAGCATCCCAGAGCGATAAAATGTATATACAGTTCACTCATTACTTGCCTTAAAATATAGGGTGAGATGAGTAGTATTTATTGTAAAATATCAAGTGTGGTATGTATGGTAGTCAGCTGGGCTACCATACCAGGCCAACCCACCCACACATATATTCTATGATATTTAAGCATCCCAGAGCGATAAAATGTATATACAGTTCACTCATTACTTACCTTAAAATATTTGTAGTCTTAATGTAGGGTCAGGAGTAAGTAAATGAGATAAAACGAATAAATGAGAGAGAGAAAGAATGAGTACATGAGAGGGGACAGGCGCAGAGTTATGTAAACAAACCAGGCGAAGGTAAGTTTTGTAAGATAAGATAAGAGATAAGATAAGATTTCGTTCGGATTTTTAACCCCGGAGGGTTAGCCACCCAGGATAACCCAAGAAAGTCAGTGCGTCATCGAGGACTGTCTAACTTATTTCCATTGGGTCCTTAATCTTGTCCCCCAGGATGCGACCCACACCAGTCGACTAACACCCAGGTACCTATTTGCTGCTAGGTGAACAGGACAACAGGTGTAAGGAAACGTGTCGAAATGTTTCCACCCGCCGGGAATCGAACCCGGGCCCTCCGTGTGTGAGGCGGGAGCTTTAGCCACCAGGCCACCGAGCCACGAAGTGTACACGTCTGGTTTGTGTACAAGTTACATTGTGTACAGGTTGTCTCTACATTGATATGGTAGAATTAATAAAGAACACTCCCATTCTCATGTAACACCATTTTGAGAAGAAATGAAGCTCTGAGTGAAGGCAATGGAAATAAGTCACACTCACTTTTTTGGGTTATCCTAGGTTCTCTACACATATGTTGTTATGTATGATAATCTATTTAACTGTATTTGTGTATACCTGAATAAACTTACATACGAAAGGAATAATTTTCTACAGTTACCCCCAGTAACACATTTTCTCTTATGTTAGATAAGAGAAAATGTTATTCTTGCCGTCACTTGTACAAGTTATCTGGCTCCCACATCTTATATTTATGTTTATTTATTCTACTGTGGGGTGTATTTATCATTTTTTTATGTTATGTATCGTGTTTATTATATAATTTTGAAAAAAAATATCATGGATGGATTAATGAAAATGTGTATATTAACGTAATATACGACATTTAATGAGACTCGGTGAGTATTGTTATTATTATTATTATCATCATTTCTAATATGGCGTCACTTGTGCAAGTCGTCTGCTACCACATCTCACATTTATGTTTATTTATTCTACTGTGGGGTGTATTTATCTTATTTATATGTTATGCATCGTGTTTATTATATAATTTTGAAAAAAAATATCATAGATGGATTAATGAAAATGTGTATATTAACGTAATATACGACATTTAAATGACTCGATGATTATTATCATTACTAATATGACGTCTGGAGACATAAGACACTTACCGATTTTAATGTGTACCTGCATGCCAGCACAGTATGTAAGTTTATTTAGGTACAGGTATACATAAGTATAATTATCAGAGTATATATAAAATATGAAATAACTTTTAAAAACATTTGAAATTTTGGAGTTTCCAGACAAAATGGAGAGACTTAGTGCTTACTGAGCTCACGAAGAATGTAAACAAACAGGGTGGGGCGCGGTGACCGTATTAGAAAGTCAGGTGGGGGGAGCCGTATAGCGAGTTTTGGTCATAATTTGAAATGACCGTATTAGCAGAACGCCGTAAAGTGAAACGCCGTAAAGCGGGGCCCTACTGTACCTCTTGATAAACCAAAAAGTCCAGCTGTTATCGTTACGCTACAACCACCCATACAAGCACGAAGAATTCGACCTCTTTCAAAGTCTGACAGATCTGTCATTTTAGGGATTTTTGTTTATATCTCATGGTAAATCTGTAAAAAAAATAACATTCAGCAAAACAGAATAAGCAGGACTATTAATAAATCATAAAAACATGAAAATAGCAAAATGTCATGATGTTATTCACCATACACCATTATGATGAGAAGAAATTCATAAGGCATCTAGATATGAAACTGTTGTGATAATGGGAGATTTTACCTTTAGACAAATTGATTGGAACAATATGACAGGAAATCTTGAGTCTAGTGACTCTCTTGATACAGTTCAGGATTGCTTTTTAGAGCAGGTTGTGGCAGAATCAACTAGAGGAAACAATCTGCTTGACTTGGTTCTTACCAACAAAGAGTCACTAATTAATAATCTTGAGGTTAATGATGAGCTTGGGGAAAGTGATCACAAATCACTTAGTTTCAATATACAGTAGGGCCCCACTTATATGGCAGGTTAGGTTCCAGGCTACCTCCATAAAGCGGAAATTGCCGTAAAGTGGAACACCCTTTTTTCCCCTTATAAATGCATACAAATACTAGATAGCAAGTTTACACTAGCATATATTAAGTTAGCAATAGAACTAAGCATCAAAAAACAATAAAAAAGTACAATACACGCACAGTGCACTCATTACTTACCTTAAAATATTTATAGTCTTAATTTAAGGTGAGATGAGTAGTAATTATCGTAAGAAATCAAGTGTGGTATGTATGGTAGTCAGCCGGGCTACCATACCAGGCCACCCCACGTACACATAATATTCTATTACATTTAAGCATCCCAGAGCGATAAAATGCATATACAGTTTACTCATTACTTACCTTAAAATATTTGTAGTCTTAATCTAGGGTGAGATGAGTAGTATTTATTGTAAGAAATCAAATGTGGTATGTATGGTAGTCAGCCAGGCTACCATACCAGGCCATTCCACCCACACATATATTCTATGATATTTAAGTATCCCAGAGCGATAAAATGCATATACAGTTCACTCATTACTTACCTTAAAATATTTGTAGTCTTAATGTAGGGTCAGGAGTGAGTAAATGAAATAAAACGAATAAATGAGTGAGAGTGAGAGTGAGAGTGAGTGAGGTGAGTGA